CACCGATTTCTCAACGAATACTTCACAATTTACCTCATGAATGATATCTGGAAGGAGGTGATGCCGTGGGCTGTTGAGCATTGCCAGGGTTTGGCGCCGTGAGGTGCCGAATGCTCGGGGAAAACGTTTGTGCTGACGCAACGATCGTCAACGGCCGTGAAGCGGTTCGTCAAGTTCGGCGTTTTCGACCGCCATGGGTTTGGTTTTCCGCCGATAACTTTCCGAACGAAGGAGCAACAGCAATAACAAGGCCACTCGGCGGGAGGTAGCTCTCTGTTCCATATGTCATGCCCAAGGTTTCGTACCGTAGAGTTTCGTGCTCGTCGGGAAAAAAGTTTGATTGACAAAAAAACACCCACGTCAGTTGGTTCAAGTTCGCGGGAATTGTGTGCTTATAGTGTGGTTTTACAGCGATAACTCTTCGAAGGAGGAGGCAACAGCAACAGCAATGCCACTCCGAGGGAGGTCGCTCTACCCAGCATCTTTCTGGTACCAGGTTAGATGCATTGGGGTATCGTGAGTGTTGAGAAAAAAGGTTCCAACTACCCTCTCCCGCACGCTCTGGCCGGTTTCTTCGCGGCGTGGTACGAAGAGTGTGCCTGCTTCTCGCCGTTGCTATAAAAGAAAAATCATGCCTCCGCATTCCGCCAGTCCCGTGCACAAAACTGGCTTCGTCCCATGACGAGCGTGCACCAAAAGTTTCATTGACAAAGTTCGCGACCAAAAGTTGCAAACAGGCTTGCAGCTTTTTTTGCAACTTTCTGCTCCCATGAGAAGCAGTGTAACTTATATGTTGCTGAAGCAAGAAAGCACCCCCATCGGGCGCGCCTCAAAAAAGTTCTTATAAAGTTTTTCCCCGTGAGCTGCGTGTGTGCTGTGTCTTGTGTGGCGGCCGATGGAGGCCACGGGGCCAGTAGGACCCACAGGAGCTGAGGTGGCGAGAGTCTGCAGTGCATGGATGCGAGGAACACGAAACACCAAAACAAAGAGGCCTTTGTTGTGCATTTTTACCGTGGCACAGGTTTGTTTTCAGGTGGCCCCTCCCCACTCACCGAAGCAACAGCAATAGCAGTAGCAAAAGTATCCGCCACGAGGTGTCCCCATGGTCTGTCTTGTGTGGTGATCGATACAGACCAGGAGGATGTAGGACGCGCAGAAATTGCGAGCCCGAGAGTTTGGGACAGCCTGAAAAAAGCTGCCGCGTCTGGTGTGATCAGCTTTTACAGTATGTTTTATCCCCAGGTCAATGTTTTGTTTTCTAAATGCGTAGCTTGATTTTCATCTTGTAAGGACAGGCTTCCTTTCCGAAACGGTGTTCGCGCAAGTTGGCGCCACCAAAGAACAAGAGGCCATGTTTCCCTGGCCATTCTTGGCCAGACCGGCGACAATTTGGCTAGAGGCAGCTCCAGAAGGTTTCATCGGGGTATTGTAGACAGTAATGGTTGTCGTTGTCTGCCCTTAACCAGAAAATATAGAAGCACAATAGTCGAGAGATGGGACCGGTCGAGGAGATGGCACCGGGGTACACAAAGAAAAACAAGGACGGCATGATTTTATTCGATTCACGCACCGGGGTCGGTGAGATCGCACCCGGTGCGATTTCACCGACCCCCAGATCCAAGATTGAACTCTATCAGCTGCCGGAACGAGGTACATGTGCGTACCGTTTGCAAGTGGGGACGGCGTCAGCGGAGCGCCACTCCTTGTCCTGTATGTACGTATGCATGGTCGCGATTCACGTGGGATGCCAGTTGCCAACCGTCACTCAGCCGAACATACAACGTACAAGCCGCACCGTACCCCACCTTACACAACACGAACCTATTGCACTGCTGCGTACGTACTGGTATCCGTAGAGGAAGACCGAAACGAAAGAGGAAGACAGCCTGATGCCGTACGTACCAGTCAGGTGGACATATCATTTGTTGTCCTTGTCACGCCATAGCCGAACTCACCTCCAAACATTAGACCACTCACGGTGCATCGAAAGTTGTCACGTACTAGCGTACGCTGCCGTTACCGGTATTCTTCCAACCAGCAACAACGGTACCTAGAAGTACGGGTGTTTCTATGCTGATCAATAGCATTGTCAAATGGCGGGTGAAGAAGACCGTGTGTGTGGGTATGCCTACACTGGTATCAATACTATCGTACCAGTTAGGGAGATGACACCGGGGGGCGTGCATATTACACCTGTGTGTATTTCATTGGGGATGGCACCGGTCGGGGAGATCGCACCGGGGTAGGAGAGATGGCACCGGGGTGTACTCATAGTCGTGCATGCCGTAGTCGTTAGACCATTGACCTCGCATCCCTACAAAGCCGGGACGGAGCACGCCGGGTTCTCACCGGACCAGGCTCTCACATCACCAAGCGCGACGCGCGGTGAGATATTTGGCGAGTCGCATGAAGGGTGCGCTGCATCCTGCTTAGGGTGTTCGGCATCTTGTGCGTACTTCCTTGCGTACGAATGACAGCTGCGTAGGACGTAATTTCTTTTCTGGTGCTTTCACTTCCTGAGTCAGTGATGGCACCGGGGTGCGATAAAAAGCCCGAGGAAGAAACATTAAAAAAAAACGATCGCATCCGGTGCCATCTCTCCGGTGGAGCCACACGTGTTCAAATACGCGCAACTGCCATGATAATCCCAAACACACATCGCGAATGATTGACAGCATCGAGCATAGACGCACAATACACGTCGGCCGTACTTGAAGCCCCACCGCAAGCCAATTAGGGGTAGCGCAGCTTTCGTAGCACGCACGTATCCACACCACGCTTGCTACAGTGGTAGTCCACAGTAACGTTTTTTTTTCCCGTGTCATGCACTCACGTTCAATCACGCGCAACCGCCAGATAAAGGCCGACACATGGCAAATGATTTGACAGTATCGGGCATAGACGCACAGCAGTACACTAAGACCGTGCTTCCAGACCTACTGCAAGCCAATTAGTGGTTGCACGGGTGTGGAAGCACGCACGAATGTACAGCACGCTTGGTGCAGCAGTATCCCACATTGATTAATTTTATTTAATTCCCCCCGTGAAACAATCACCACGTTCCATCATGCGCTACCGCCATGATAAGCACGGACATCCGTCGCAAATAAGTGACAGCATTGAGCATCGACGCGCAGTGCACGTCGCCTGTACTTGCAGACCTGCCCCAACCAATAGTGGCGCAATTTTTGCACCACGCAAGAATTTATACCACGTCATTCAACAGTTTTCCTTTTCGCGTACGATGGCTAACTCTCCCCGTGAGACGAGACATGGAACCTCACTGCTATTGCGCGTCCCGCTATCCATCACGACGAAAAGCACCCGTTTATGGTTCGACGGTTGATTACGGGTACACTACAGGAAAACGTGGTCTTCCTCACAAGCAATGACGAAGCAAATTCCTCGTTAAGGAAAAGTTTATCGCGCGCAGCGATTTTCCCCTACCCAACGATTCCCGTCATACGTCAACCCCTGTCCTTACCCTCTTACGGGTACAATAGGTGTCCCGATATAGTGCCGGTATGTGTCCAGGCGGATTGACCGGCACTACACCGGGCACCGGCACTATTCAATGAACTATTCAGGGTCTGAAAATCCCTCTATAGTGCCGGCTTGGCGCTAATCAGGACTGCTCGACTTCAGTGCGCTTTGCGGGGCTGACAGAGTACCAAACGAACAGTGTATGGATCGATCGTGAGATGGGCGACGTGGGCGGGCTTCATTGAGTTTCGTGAGGCTCTTGGACTGTTGAAAACACGGCATTGGTCACATTAAAATTAATCTGGTTGACCAGATAGTTTTGTTGCACAGCAGTTGCTCTCTTCCCACCACTCGCTAGTGAAACGTTGCTGCCAATTCAAAAGGCATCTCGCTATGACATGATGTATTGTTGTGGGGAGTCTGAACCGGCACTACTGAGGGGGTCGATAGTGCCTGAATCGGCACTATTCAGGCCTCTGTCTGTCTCAAGAAAATTTACCGGCACTTTACCGGACTTCGGCACTTTTCAACCGGCACTATATCGGGACACCTACTGTATTGCCTTTCTCCTCGACCTCCATCGCCGTATGACCCATCGTCCACTGGGGGCGGAGGGGGCGATGCTTCACGCTACATCGTACAAACACACATAGGAGGAACCAGCCTCAGCGAAGATGCTACCTCGAATAACCCGGGGATCTCCGATACATGTCCCTGCCTCAGTGAAGACGCAGCAGGTGAAAACCCGTGGATCTCTGATACGTGCCCCCCCCCCCCTCCCGCCCGCGGACTCACATTTCGATTAAGTGGGCCTATATTTCTTGAGCTTGTTTTCGTGCATACCCTTGAAGCAGAAACCAATGCTGTTCAGGATTGGAATACGCTCTCTCTCACACAACCGCCCTCTCCCCATGTTCGTGGGAGGTGCTGTTATCTTTCTGATACTCCTTGAACTTATTTGCAGGCTTTCCGCTGTCTGTCGGTCGCTACGCAGCAGCTATAGCTGTTGAAGCGTAGCAGTAGTTGCTCCTTCTCCCCCTCCCCTCCCTCTCACTCTCGCAGCGGGGGGGAGAACGGGAGGGAGCTTCTGACGAGACTGCAGACTATCATGAACGTCATCTGCCCGTTGAATTACTTTTGTGGGAAAGATATCGATTTGGGCGGGTTCTTTTGTAGCATTGTGACATTCGCTTGCTCCTGGTACGGGCTAGTCTCTTGTGTATCAGAAAGAAAGAGGTGGCGTCTTGAAACGCGTGTAATTGTGATCATGTATGAGTTCATTTCTATGTACATACAGCTGAGAGTAGTCTCCACCACCATACCGGGAATAAGCTTCGTTTGCGCGATTAGAAATAAATCGCCTCATGTGTTTGCGACCCAAATTTCCGGGGTTTGACCTATCCATTCAGACCTTAACTTCCTAGGCCGTCCGTGGTCTCATCCTGACCACATGATCATGCTAACGATTCCACCAATGCATGCTCCCCCCGATGTGACCGATATTTTGGCTGTGGTAGTTTTGGCGACATCTACCTTGGTGTTGGTCAAAATGGCGAACAGGTGGCGGTCAAGTTTGAGAAGCATAGCACAAGATGCCCGCAACTGCGACACGAGTACAAGGTCTACCGCGAGCTGCAGAACTGCACTGGGTTTGGGAGGGTGAGAAATATCCGTCACGCTTCCACGCCTTTCGTCCGATCACGCTAGCACGCTTTAGAAAGTTGGGTATCAACTAGAGCCCCAGAGGCCGAATGGCCCGTAGCACTTCCGCGTCTTGTGTCTGAAAGAGGTGGTTTCTTTTTTCCGGGTTGCACTGATAAATCGCATACAATCGAATCCTGGGACACACTTTCGACTCCACGAGAAACAGGGATACAATTCAATATTTGCTCAAGGGTTTTTGCTGATTTTTTCCGCTGATTCGTTGCCATTCATTGCGTGGGCACCTGTGACGTCTAATTCACCAGACACACTGATCGTCCTTTCCACTTGTTCGCATGACCCGCTGTGTTCAACACCCCAAGAGTTCACCCAAGAGAAATGATCACGTCGAAATATGTAGCGGCCGGGTATTGCTGTGGCAAGCAACAGCGACTTTCGTACTCGCTTCGATTTACATGAACAGGTGTACTACTACGGAACATACAACAGCTATAACGCGATGGTGATGGACCTGCTCGGCCCTTCTTTGGAAGACCTCTTCACCAAATGCGGTCGTAGGTTTTCGCTCAGGACCGTGCTACAGGTTGCCGACCAGCTACTGGACAGGATGGAGACGATGCACTCTAGGTACGTTACAGTAAATCACCTTTTTTGTGCTGGAAGCGAAACGTGGATCTGCCGATTCTGTGGCCGAAATCGGGGCGCTTGTCTCTTTTATTCTGAGTGGGAACGAAGAAAAAGACATGGATACTGGTCCCACCCATCTGCTACCTGTACACCGAAAGATTCGTGGAGCGCCCGTATGTCCCCATGCATTGCTGTAGAAGACGCCGTTCCGTCATGGAACAGCCGTGACAATAACATGAACAGTTTCTCCTTGTTCTGCCAGGCATCTTATTCACCGAGATGTGAAACCGGCGAACTTCGTCCTCGGCCCTGGTCGCGGATGCCAGACTATATTTTGCATCGATTTCGGGCTGAGCACGCGATACCGACACCCGCGCACTCTGCAACATATCCCTTACAGAGACGGAAGGTCTCTCACCGGCACCCCAAGGTATTATTTACTTCGTAGACTACATGGAGATGTGCGATGAAGCTAAAGGATTTGGTTTGTTTTTGTTGCTGGGGGGAAGTTGGCACTCTTGTAGCTGTCATGAACACAAAGCGACCACGTATCGACGTAAACGGGTTGTCGCTGCTAAGTAAGGAGGGCAGCCCTTCGTCCACAACAGGAGGCGATTGCGATTCCAGAGGGTAGTGCTTTTCATAGGACGTAAGCCAGGTCTGATGCAGCCACGGCACGGCGAAAAGGTTGGTGGCTTGCTCATTTCACGAGCAACCGCGTCCTCGGTACACGGACAGTCTGAGCAATACCCGCGTGCAAATTGTTTCTCTTCTGTGTGCTTCAAGCCATTCGCTCCAGCATCCAGCTATGTGCAGTTGAAAGCGTAAATCTCCTCTCGAATATTGCGATTTGAGGTTCATCTTCCAGTGACTCGCTGCAGTGATTTATCTCTCACTGTACCACATCGATCTTATTGACGAAGGTATGCATCCATTAACAACCACCTGGGTCTGGAGCAGAGCCGACGGGACGATCTAGAGAGTATCGGGTGAGTACATATGCTTCCGAAAAAGGGCGTGAGATAGCGCTCAATGCGTGAAAACCTAGCGGTTGACATCTGGCGCTTGCCCAGAAAAGGTTCTCGGTCGGTCGCCTATTAGTGAGGAGAGGTACCATGCACAACCGGAGATATGTTGTGTGCGTTTCGACTTTTCCCTCGCACGATTGTTGTACCTGTTTGTCGCCTTTGTGTAGAGGTGTCATACGTGCCTATGGGAACGTCCGGAATACCTGGAGAGTCCGTTGGGAGCAAGTGATCTGGCCTGAAAACACTTTCATCCGTTTCCGTGGCACGCACAATATTGTGGCCATGTCCGTCCCTATCGCGATTGAGTATTTGCAAAATAATTTAGCACTGTTCACTCGCGGCTCTTAATGGTTATTGACGACCTCCACATTGGCCAAAATCGTGAGTTCCTGACCTTGCTTCACTGCTGCGTCCATGCACCTCCGCACAAGCTCAATCTAATGTGCTTCGGCGTTTCCACCATCGCGAATGGTTTTGCCGTTCCCGATACATTTTCGGCAGGTTCGTCCTGGTTTATTTCCTGAAGGGTTCCTTACCTTGGCAGGGACTAAAGGCCCGCAACGCCAAACGAAAATACAAGATTATTATGGAGCGGAAGCAAGCCATTAGCATACAGCAACTTTGCCAGGTATAGACCTATAGCCGGATTTCCTGCTTGCTGAGGGCTCACGAGATTGCAGGAATGCAATCCTGATGCTCTCGTGAGCGTAGAGCCCTTTTCCGCGGTTTCTCCGCCCGTAGACCTCGCCTCGAAGCGAGACTTGCACCTACCGATAGCCCTGTGCTGGGAGAGCCCTCCCGGCGTACCGCGCGCTCTCGCGGCGGACTGCGTGCAGCGCTAGCGAGGGCAGAAAGTCGCGTCTCCGATATCTGCCATGGATCCACCAATCATACCCTGATTTCTTGACAGTGCAAGCCATTCATACATCCGGCATGCGGCTGACGTGGATGGTGCGTGAGCGCTGCCTACACACTACACACCACGACACCAAGCCACCACGTTTCCGCATGACACGAGACCAAGTGCTCTACCGCTGTAGTCTCCCTTTTAATCCCGGCGAAAGGCGGGGGGGTTAGCGGCCGGTGTCGTGCGCACAGCTGTCTGCAAAAGTCCACCCGCCCGAGAAAAAATTAAACAAACGCTGTTGTTCCTCCTTTTCATAGAAGGGAGGTGACCTTTTTTTTCTTCTCTTTCTTCGCGAAAAAAGCATCTGCTACCTACCGCATTTTTGTAAAGCGGCTAGAGGAACACACACCGCAACACACGAACGTCTACAGTCATTTGACTCCCAGAACCCTCTGGCAGAGCATAAGCAATACTACTGCTGCTGCTGCTGTGGGATGTTGCCATATTTTCATAAATCTTCGCAATAAGTCGTCTGATTTTTTCTGCTTGTGCTTACATACAACGTGCTGCAAGAAATGATCTATGCACTGCTTTTTCTCGCCTCCCGTACTCAACTCCGATTCTCATCACCGCCGGCTGTACATACGAAGACCACACACCCTAGAAGCGAACTTTTCCAGCTACAACGTCTCGCTGCGGGGGTGGGTAGCACATGGGGGAGGAGGGGGAAGAGAGGAGGGAAAAAAAGCTGCTTGGTGTATCTTTGTTAGTCATATTAGCCGACTTCCCCCCCCCCCCCCCCCCCCCCCCCCC